TATAGCGCACTTTTTGATTGGTCCAGCGGATGCTGAGCCACACTTGAAAACAAGTTTGGAAAAAATTCAGAAAAATTAAATTTTCGAGATAATCGTTCGGGAATACCGCCAAAGTAGTTAGAAGAAAGTTCTGAACAAAAAATATATAGCGCACTTTTTGATTGGTCCAGCGGATGCTGAGCTACACTTGAAAACAAATTTGAAAAAAATTTAGAAAAATTAAATTTTCGAGATATACGTTCGGGAATACCGCCAAAGTAGTTAGAAGAAAGTTCTGAACAAAAAATATATAGCGCACTTTTTGATTGGTCCAGCGGATGCTGAGCTACACTCAATTAAATTTATGAAAAATTTTCGGAAAATTAAATTTTCGAGATAATCGTTCGGGAATACCGCCAAAGTAGTTAGAAGAAAGTTCTGAACAAAAAATATATCGCGCACTTTTTGATTGGTCAGGCGGATGCTGAGCTACATTTGAAAACAAATTTGGAAAAAATTCAGAAAAATTAAATTTTCGAGATAATCGTTCGGGAATACCGCCAAAGTAGTTAGAAGAAAGTTCTGAACAAAAAATATATAGCGCACTTTTTGATTGGTCCAGCGGATGCTGAGCTACACTTGAAAACAAATTTGGAAAAAATTTAGAAAATTTAAATTTTCTAGATAAACGTTCGGGAATACCGGCAAAGTGTTTAGCAAAAAGTAGCGAAAAAAATATATCGCGCACTTTTTGATTGGTCCAGCGGATGCTGAGCTACATTTGAAAACAAATTTGGAAAAAATTCAGAAAAATTAAATTTTCGAGATAATCGTTCAGGAATACCGCCAAAGTAGTTAGAAGAAAGTTCTGAACAAAAAATATATAGCGCACTTTTTGATTGGTCCAGCGGATGCTGAGCTACACTTGAAAACAAATTTGGAAAAAATTTAGAAAAATTAAATTTTCGAGATAAACGTTCGGGAATACCGCCAAAGTAGTAAGAAGAAAGTTCTGAACAAAAAATATATAGCGCACTTTTTGATTGGTCCATCGGATGCTGAGCTACATTTGAAAACAAATTTGGAAAAAATTCAGAAAAATTAAATTTTCGAGATAATTGTTCGGGAATACCGCCAAAGTAGTTAGAAAAAAGTTCTGAACAAAAAATATATAGCGCACTTTTTGATTGGTCCAGCGGATGCTGAGCTACACTTAAAAACAAAATTTGGAAAAATTTTCGGAAAATTAAATTTTCGAGATAATCGTTCGGGAATACCGCCGTAGTAGTAAGAAGAAAGTTCTGAACAAAAAATGTATGGCGCACTTTTTGATTGGTCCAGCGAATGCTGAGCTACACTCAAATAAATTTATGAAAAATTTTCGAAAAATTAAATTTTAGAGATAATCGTTCGGAAATACCGCCAAAGTCTTTAGCAAAAAGTAGCGAACAAAAAATGTATAGCGCACTTTTTGATTGGTCCAGCGGATGCTGAGCCACACTTGAAAACAAATTTGGAAAAAATTTAGAAAAATTAAATTTTCGAGATAAACGTTCGGGAATACCGCCAAAGTAGTAAGAAGAAAGTTCTGAACAAAAAATATATAGCGCACTTTTTGATTGGTCCATCGGATGCTGAGCTACACTCAATTAAATTTATGAAAAATTTTCGGAAAATTAAATTTTCGAGATAATCGTTCGGGAATACCGCCAAAGTAGTTAGAAGAAAGTTCTGAACAAAAAATATATCGCGCAGTTTTTGATTGGTCCAGCGGATGCTGAGCTACATTTGAAAACAAATTTGGAAAAAATTCAGAAAAATTAAATTTTCGAGATAATCGTTCGGGAATACCGCCAAAGTAGTTAGAAGAAAGTTCTGAACAAAAAATATATAGCGCACTTTTTGATTGGTCCAGCGGATGCTGAGCCACACTTGAAAACAAATTTGGAAAAAATTTAGAAAAATTAAATTTTCGAGATAAACGTTCGGGAATACCGCCAAAGTAGTAAGAAGAAAGTTCTGAACAAAAAATATATAGCGCACTTTTTGATTGGTCCATCGGATGCTGAGCTACACTCAATTAAATTTATGAAAAATTTTCGGAAAATTAAATTTTCGAGATAATCGTTCGGGAATACCGCCAAAGTAGTTAGAAGAAAGTTCTGAACAAAAAATATATCGCGCACTTTTTGATTGGTCCAGCGGATGCTGAGCTACATTTGAAAACAAATTTGGAAAAAATTCAGAAAAATTAAATTTTCGAGATAATCGTTCGGGAATACCGCCAAAGTAGTTAGAAGAAAGTTCTGAACAAAAAATATATAGCGCACTTTTTGATTGGTCCAGCGGATGCTGAGCTACACTTGAAAACAAATTTGGAAAAAATTTAGAAAATTTAAATTTTCTAGATAAACGTTCGGGAATACCGGCAAAGTGTTTAGCAAAAAGTAGCGAAAAAAATATATCGCGCACTTTTTGATTGGTCCAGCGGATGCTGAGCTACATTTGAAAACAAATTTGGAAAAAATTCAGAAAAATTAAATTTTCGAGATAATCGTTCGGGAATACCGCCAAAGTAGTTAGAAGAAAGTTCTGAACAAAAAATATATAGCGCACTTTTTGATTGGTCCAGCGGATGCTGAGCTACACTTGAAAACAAATTTGGAAAAAATTTAGAAAATTTAAATTTTCTAGATAAACGTTCGGGAATACCGGCAAAGTGTTTAGCAAAAAGTAGCGAAAAAAATGTATGGCGCACTTTTTGATTGGTCCAGCGGATGCTGAGCTACACTTGAAAACAAACTTGGAAAAAATTTAGAAAAATAAATTTTCCGGGCAAACGTTCGGGAATACCGCGAAAGTCTTTAGCAAAAAGTACCGAACAAAAAATGTATGGCGCACTTTTTGATTGGTCCAGCGGATGCTGAGCTACACTTGAAAACAAATTTGGAAAAAATTTAGAAAAATTAAATTTTCGAGATAAACGTTCGGGAATACCGCCAAAGTAGTAAGAAGAAAGTTCTGAACAAAAAATATATAGCGCACTTTTTGATTGGTCCATCGGATGCTGAGCTACATTTGAAAACAAATTTGGAAAAAATTCAGAAAAATTAAATTTTCGAGATAATTGTTCGGGAATACCGCCAAAGTAGTTAGAAGAAAGTTCTGAACAAAAAATATATAGCGCACTTTTTGATTGGTCCAGCGGATGCTGAGCTACACTTAAAAACAAAATTTGGAAAAATTTTCGGAAAATTAAATTTTCGAGATAATCGTTCGGGAATACCGCCGTAGTAGTAAGAAGAAAGTTCTGAACAAAAAATGTATGGCGCACTTTTTGATTGGTCCAGCGAATGCTGAGCTACACTCAAATAAATTTATGAAAAATTTTCGAAAAATTAAATTTTAGAGATAATCGTTCGGAAATACCGCCAAAGTCTTTAGCAAAAAGTAGCGAACAAAAAATGTATAGCGCACTTTTTGATTGGTCCAGCGGATGCTGAGCCACACTCAGATAAATTTTTTAAAAAATGTCGAAAAAATAATTTTGCGAGTTAATTGGTCGGGAATACCACCAAAGTCTTAACCCGGGAGTCTTGAACAAAAAATGTATGGCGCACTCTTTGATTGGTCCAGCGGATGCTGAGCTACACTAGAAAACAAATTTGGAAAAAATTAAGAAAAGTTAAATTTGCGAGATAATCGTTCCGGAATACCGCTAATAAAATAGGGAAAAATTTTCGAACAAAAAATGTATGGCGCACATTTTGATTGGTCCAGCGAATGCTGAGCTACACTCACTAAAACTGGGAAAAAAATTTCGAAAAAAAAAATTTGCCAGATAATGACTCGGGAATAATGCCAAAAATTTGAGCAAAAAGTCTGGAACAAAAAATGTATGGCGCACTTTTTGATTGGACTGGCGGATGCTGAGCTACACTAGAAAACAAATTTGGAAAAAATTTAGAAAAATTAAATTTGCGAGATAATCGTTCCGGAATATTGCCAATAAAATAAGGAAAAAGTTTTGAAGAGAATGAATAAACCCAGAGAATGAAAATTATATTTTCGATCAAGGAGAATATTCACTTTGTTGAAATAATAGCCTTGACCCATTTTGAATAGTGGAATTTTTTACTATTCCATTTTACAAGTTAACAAATTTTGCTGGATGTTTTGTTGACTTGACGAACACCATTTTGAGATATTTTCCCTGTTCCCTTATGTATTTTCCCCAATTATTCATGATCTAGTACGAAAAACTTGCTTTCAGCCTTTTCAAATTTTCACTTATTGAATTTCTTCTTCTACTTCTTAATTCTATGTAATGTGCAATTTTTAAAATTACCGATATAAAAATGTATTGTAGAACAGCCCTAACGGACTTTAGTAGGATATTTGGAAAGTTGACATTTTTCCAATTCGCCATTTATCATAATTCTTGTCATTCATCGCAGCCAGGAAAAAAAAGACTGTTAAAAAAACGAATGATTCTAGCAAATATTTACTGTCTTTCATCTACGAACATTTAGTTACTCTTGAGTTTCGCAACTTGGATTACCTTACCCAGAAAGTAGAAGTCCAGAAAGTGTTGAAAAAAGAACTCAAAAAACCCAGAGGTGACGATCTTAGGATCCAACTGTCGAGGAATGAAGCTTGCGGTTGTAGTAACCAAACCATGGAAGGCAGACAGGCTAGAAAATTAGAAATAGATAGCATATGATTAGGTTTATCTGATAATTAGTAGCAGACTTACGGTTTTTTAAATGTCCCCAGAATATCGGCAACCTTGATGATTATCATTAATAATCCTTTTGTAGTCAACTCTTCTATTCAGGTTGCTTCTTCTGATCAGGTTAATCCGTAGCAAAAAATACTCTTTTTTTGCCTGTGACTTGTCTTTCTATACCACTCTTAATGTGAAAGTTAATTTTAATCAGTAATAATCTGCTCGTTCTTCTAAAGCTTTGTTAAACTAATAAAATGAGTACTCAATAAAATGTCATGTTCGTTGATTTTAGGTATCTCTTATGTAAATGGTGCTTGTAATAAGTCGGCTGAAGACTATAAAATTAGAGCTGTTGGAGTAATAGAGGACAATGGTGGTTTCAAGGGAATTAGAGCTGGAGCACATGAATTAGCTCATCTGTAAGTGAAAAAATAATTGTAAATTACCATTCTGTAAAAAATTTTCAAATCTTCAATAATATACATTGAGAAAAAAAATTTAGTGTTTGCAACAAAATTGTTTGGTTAGGCAATTTTGGTTCTTGGAGCCAAATTTTGGTTGGCTGAAACAAAGTCGTAGAGTTAACTTAATCAAACATTTGGTTAGGCCAAATATTTCAATTGGATAAATATAAATTTAATGTTAAATTGATAATAAATAAATAATGAAATAAATAAAAAAGATAAAAAGAAAACAGATAAGGTAGAATAAAATTTTTAATTTTACAAAAAAAATTGTCTGTTTGATCAACCAAACATTTTTGTTGACCTAACAAAAAAAATTTGGATGGGCTAACCAAACATTTTTGTTATGCCAACAAAAAACACTCAACCAAATTTTTTAGTTGACTCAAACAAATAGTTTGGTTGCTTAAATACCAACAAAATTTTTTTGTTGGCCCAACTAAATTTTGGTTGCTCTGACTAAACATTTTTCTCAGTGTATATGTAAATTAAACATTTTATATAAATTATAAGTAAAATTTATGAATAGACTAAAAAGTGTCGTTTTTAGAATAAAAAGTGTCAAATAAAAATATTGTAGACTCGGTGCTCCACATGATGGTGATGAAGGAACGTCTTTAGGTGGACCTGGAGCCATAACATGTTTACCGGATTATGGTTTTCTTATGAGCTACGAACGAGATAATAGAAATCAATTTTATTTTTCCTCTTGTACCAAGCAATCAATCACTTACTATACAAGGTAAATGAGTAAATAAATTTCTTATTAATTTTTTATTTAAAAAAATCTCATGATAAGCATTTATAGTTTAGAAATATTTTTTAAATAAATTATAAAAAAAAAAAAAAACTTTTAGTCTAGCTCGAGCCGAATGTCTTCGTGATAATCCTGCTCGAAAAATGGGAACATATAAATTAAATAGAATATTACCAGGAAAACTTATGACACTAAATGAACAATGCAGAAAAAGTGGATTTTATGCACCACGTTATGTAAGAATTCTGCTATTTAATTAGAGTGAAGTTTTAAATTGTTTCATTTTTTATTTGTGAACAGAATTGAAATAAAAATCAGTTAATTAGATTTTTCAAATAATAATTTATTTATTATTTTAGAATGATTCAAGTGTATGCCAAGATCTCTGGTGTTTAGAAAGACCATTTGGTAAAAAATCTTATCAATCAACTCAAGCTGCTGCAGAAGGATCTTATTGTGGGAATAATATGGTAAGTTAGGTGTGATTTTAAATCTGTATTTTTTTTTTTTTTATAAATTTATTTTTATTTTTCAGTACTGTTTGGATGGTTCATGCGTCAGTGAAACAGCTACAGATTCGTAAATAATTTTTATGTTGTAAAAATTACAAATAGATGAAATAATAAATATTAATAATTCTAGAATAAGAACCTTTATATGTTTAGTTTTTTCATTTTTATTTTAATTGGCTTCACCGGTTCAAGTATAACATTAGTTTTTACTTTAATATTTTCTATTGGTGTTGTATCATCAGTTTCTAATACATGTTTCTGAAGAATCGTCAATAGAAGTATTTTTAGAGAAGTTGTACTAAATTTATATCCTAAAATAAAAAAAAATGGTAATTTAAATATCAGAAATATATACTAATTTTTTTTTTCTAATAAAATATATTTTAACCTATACAATTTCTTGGACCAGAGCTAAAAGGTAAATAAGTCATTTTATGCCGTTTGGCAATTTCCTCAAGTTGAAATCTATCAGGATTAAACTTCAATGGATTTGACCATAGTTTTTTACTGCGATGAATATGAAATATAGGTATAATTACATTACTACCTTTTGGCAATGTATATTCTCCTAAAACCAAAAAAAAAAAAAATAATTTTTAATATTTACAGTGAATTACAATTTTAAAAATTATTTATTACAAACAAACCAATTTTAAAATCCTCTGTGACTTTACGTGAAATAGTTGGACCTGCAGGAAACAAACGCATTGTTTCTTTAATTACTCTTTCTAAATAATCCATTTTAGATAATTCTTCATTCGTGATTAGCTTGTCTTCTAAATTAATATCACCGAAAATTTCCTTAATTTCTTGCCGAACTTTTTCCTATGTTAAATAAAAAGAAAATTTAACATTACAAAAAAGGTTGTATTTATAATTTTAAAATTAGTAAAATGGTAAAATTTAAAAATGGTTTTTTTTTTAATTATTACTTGTACTTCAGGAAATGATGCCAATAATCGCATTGCAAAATCTGCTACAACAGCGGTAGTGTGACTTCCCTAAAAAAAAAATAATCCGAAATTAATTTTCAGTTGCGTAAACAAGTGAAGAAAAATTTAAATACCGCAACAATGATAGTTTTAACTTCTTCCAGTACATCTTGTTCAGTCAATTGATTTTCCAAAAATGATTTTTTCATTAAAAAATCAAAAAATGATTTTGTTTTACAAATTTTATTGTCTAGAAATAAAGAAATTAGGAAATAAATATTAATAAGCAAGTTTATAAAAATAATTTAAATTTTCAAAATTACTCAAAAAAAAAAAAAACGCATTAGATTTACTTTTTACCCTACCATTTATTTTTTCATTCATACTTTCAATGAAAAATTTTCTCTTCTGATGAATCATCTGTAAAATCAAATAAAAAAGATAAAGAAATACTTGAATAAAAGATAAATAAAAAAATATACTTATTATTCTTACGTTCTCTATCAATTTATGAACAGGATCAATATCTTTCGTCAAATTTTTCGATATTTGAAAATTGAACAAAAAATATGAATTTAGTATTTTGTATGTCATCGAATTGAGTGCACTACGAAAAATAAAATAATTTATAAAAATTCATTAATTTCGTTCTATTCTTAAATTATATTCAATAAAAATTTTAAAAAATAACCTTTTAAATTGTGCAACATGTGTTTGTGTTTCATCGAATCCTAAATTTACTGTTTCATTCATGATACGTTCTATAACAATAACAAAGACATATTCAAATAATTTTTAACCGCGCTGATTACGTATTTGAGGTTAGTTTATCAAAATTCAAAATGGCGCAACCAATATGGCTGACCAATTTGTAAAAATCGCTTAAAGTTTCTTAAAACTTCTTACTCTAAGTTTTTTGGGGTTGCTTATTAAAAAATTCGATTTCAGAATGTCAAAATTCAAAATGGCGGATCCAGAATGGCGGTCGAAAAATTTAATCACTATTTGACTGTACCATATTGGATCCGCCATTTTAAATTTTGAAAAACCGACTAAAGTTTATTAATAAACATTCATTTTCAAGTAAAATGGGATTTAAAAAAATTAAAAATTAAATTTATAAAAATTTTTTTCTCACCTAATATAATATTCATAGAATATATCGATGTGTATTGTGCCACATTAAATTCTTTGCCATTTTCTTTATCATCTATAATTTTCAAAAACATAATGGCATGTTTTTGAAAAATTTCATTACATGAATGTAAATTCTTAATAGCTGGTAAAATCAATTTACGATGCAAACGCCATTTTGGTACTAAAATTATAATGAGAAAATGTAAAAATTATTATTATTTTTTTTTAAATATTTAATTTACAAAGTTTACCTGATAATGTAAATATTCCTTTACCAACATGATGTTCAAATAATTTATAATATTTTGGTCTCTCACAAATTTTCGAACTTTTTAAAACAGCCTTTAAAATTTTTTTAATTTATTATAAAGTATATTTTTAAGTACAATATATAATAATTTTTTTTATAGTACAGAAAAAAATTTTCTTACTTCAATTTTTTCAGGATCATAAATGGTAATAATTAAAGAATTTCCTATCCATAATCTAAATAATGAAGGATATAAATCATACATTTTATATAATTTATTTAATAAATCTGAAATTAAATGAATATTATTTGTATCGATAATTGTGAAAATAATAATTAATAATTAGTAATATAATTTTATTAAAAATAAAAATTTATTATTCAATTTTTGAATTAATGGAATTTTGAGAATTTTTTTTTTTACTCACTTGATTTTTTTCCAAAAAGTAAATGAGCATTACCAATTAGTGGTATTGTTCGTGGTCCAGGTAAAAGAGCTGCTTTTTTATAAAAATCTTTATTTTTAATATGTTGAAAAATAATAATTAATAGAAGGATTAATAAAATACTTGGAAGAAAATTTACTAAAAATAACATTGTTTTAATTTAGAAAAAATTTAAACAATATGAAATATATCTGCAACAATAATAAATAATGAATTCATTAATTTTTTTACAATATATTAATATTAAACTGAGATACAGTTTTTGAAAGAATTTTAATTTTTGTCAAAGATTTTCAGTTCTAAAAGAATATACTTTTTAGTTTTAGTTTAAAAATATTTAAACATGATATTCTAATCTATTAGAGACTAAAGAAGAATGATTCCTTCAAAGAAAACAGTTCGTTTTATATACCTTAGTACGTCAGTAAAGAAATAATTTATTTATTATACAAAAAAATGCTATTAAACTTATTAACATATTTAAATGAATAAAAATTTGACAACTTTCTATAAAGATATAAAAACATTTCATCAATTTTTTTTTTAGAGCACTTTTTCGTCTTACAAATTGTAACATGCAAATAAACATATTTTAATGTATTTGAATATTTATACATAATGTTTATTTAATTTTTAAAATAACTACAAAATCATTTCTCAATTTTATTATTATTTTTTTTTGAGTCGTAATAAATTTGCCTTGAAATCTATTGAAATGATTTAATACTTTGCAGAAAATTGAAGAATATTAAATTTTACTATATTTTTCTTAATTCCAAGAAAGAGTATTTTGAATAATTTCCCAGATAGCACGTAAGCTTGCAGCAACCTTGCGGCAAGCTTGCCGCGCAATATTGCCAATCTTGCATGGCAAGTTTGCCGCAAGCTTCAAATGTCCTACCTAACCCAAGCTTGCCGAAAGATTGCAGTGTAAGGTTACTGCAAGATTGCACAGTAAGATTATCGCAAGATTGCATGGTAAGCTTACCGAAAGATTGCAGAGTAAGGTTGTTGCAAGATTGCACAGTAAGATTACCGCAAGATTGCTCAGGAAGCTTGCACGGTAAGCTTGTCGCAAGGTTGGTGCAAGGTTGCCAAATAACCTTGCCCAAACTGGTGCTCAATTTATGTACAAAAATAAATTTCCTCCCCCCCCAAAAATTTTTTTGTTATATTCTGCAAGCTTGCGCCAAGCTCGCCATAAGGTTGCCGAGCGAACTTGCATGGCAAGCTTGCTGCAACCTTCTGTGCAGATGGGCAAGGTTATTTGGCAACCTTGCACCAACCTTGTGACAAGCTTACCGTGCAATCTTGCGATAATCTTACTGTGCAATCTTGCAGTAACCTTAAACTGCAATATTTCGGTAAGCTTACCATGCAAGCTTGGGTTAGGTGGGACATTTGAAGCTTGCCGCAAGGTTGCTGCAAGCTTACGTGCTATCTGGGTTAAATAATCAAAATTTTTAATAATTATATTACAGAATAAATATCGTTATACATATAATGTCTATAAGTTTTTATCGAATACCAATTTTACATAAATTTCAATAAATATTTTTTAATATTCCTTTTATGGAAAAATATTTAATTATAAAGTTTTGACAAATGCAACAAATTGAATTTGAATCTCTTTACAAAATCTTCAAACGTGGAACACAAAAATTTCTATTTTTTAATTATTTAACTTTAAACAATAAATATAATTTCCAAATAGTTATTTGATTAACGCTTTTTTATGTCATTTGATACTACTTATTCGCTGCGCTGTTATCACAGGGTTGCCAAAAAAAGGTCAAAATAATTTTCTCTGAATTCCAGACAAAAATTTTGTATTTTTTCCTGACATTTTCGTTTTTTCTATTAAAATTAAATTCAATCAAAAATTATGTTAAATGAAATTTTGATGAAATAAAAATTTTCCAGCACTTTTTATTAAATTCCCTGACAAAAATTAATTTTCCTAACATTTCCTTGACTTGTGGCAACCCTTTATCAAAGGTTGTTAATTGGTGATGTTCATATATATGATCTTCAATTAGTACGATGTTTATCAGATTCATTTTTTTTATAGCCAAGTAACTCACCACGTAAATATTCATGATAAATTTATCTCTAAGCAATTTCGCTATTAGCGGCGAGGCGTGAGTTTGTCGTCTGCTACGCGACTTAAGCGCCAGTTTGAATTTAGTGAACTAACGAAAGTCCGCGAAATTCAAGTGGAATATTTTAATAACATTAAGATGAAAAAAATCATCAATATAGCGTAATGTAAATAATAATAATCATAATTAAAAATTACTTGTGTCGTTACAATATAATTATTGTTTTGAATAAAAATTTCAATTATAAACAGATCGATTAGTAGATTTCTTTGCCCAGTTCTCTTATAGTTCAAAAACTTTCGCCTTGTAAATAAATCAGGAACTTAATTATTAAAATAATTAACTATGTATTTCTGGATCATTAATTGAGGTTAGTTTCCCGTTTAACCTAAAAAGGCTAAAAGTACTTTATCATAAATTCTTCCAACTTCCTTCAAATATAATTCTACTGTATTTATATAAATACTCAAAAAATAAAAGAAAAAAGAATAGGAAAAAACCAGATACTGTGAATTATAAATGAAATTCAATATATATATATATATATATATATATATATATATATATCTGAAGTGAATAAAATAAATGAAGGAGCGCAAATGTATTATAATTTAGAATATGAAGGTGGCTTTGGATGTCAGAAAAGCGTTTCCTATTCTCGAAACAAGAGATAACAGATAATACACCCACGCGTGTACAGGAAGTTTGAAACTAAGTTTGAGTCGCTGTCTTGTCAGAGTATTGGATGTAGAGTGGGGAGGAGGACGAGTCGTCTTTAGGTTGCTGACATGAACATAGTATTGCGATCACGTTGCCTTGTCTAACAGAGAGAAAGAGAGAGAGAAAGCAAGAATGGGAAATTCGAGATAGGATTTCTCCCTTTATAGTTGGTATCAACTATCAGTGCGCTGTATCATCAGTTTTGCAAGTATCAATTCAATACAAGAAACTTGTACATTTTCTTTAATGTCAAAATTTAATGTATAAAGTAGCTCGTATTACATCTTTCAATATTTCCTTTGATAAAAATCATCTTCATCTTTTTTTTTTTCTTTACAAGAATTTGATTATCAAGAAAAATAATTAGTTCTCGTATTTATTAAAGAAAATTTTTAATTGTGAAATTCATCAAAATCAAGGCGCCATTTTGAATTTTGAAAATCTGACAACAAATTCTTAATCAGCGATCCTAGAAAGCAATGAATAACAAAATTTCAAGGAAATTCAATCGATTTTTACTAATTTGGCCGCCATTTTGAATTTTGAAAAACTAACATGGAATTCGTCATCAGCGAGCCGGAAAACCTCCGAGTAGGAAGTTTCAAATGAATTGGATTAATTTTTCAAAAACCTTCTACCATATTAGATTTTGGATTTTAAAAATCTGACAGTAAATTCGTAAACAGTGACCCTAAAAACCCCCGAGTAAGAAGTTTTAAGAAAATTTAAGCAATTTTTACCAATAGGTCAGCCATATTGGATTCGCCATTTTGAATTTTTAAAAACTAACATCGAATTCATGATTAGCGAATTGGAAAACCAATATGTGGACATTTTTTTTGTGTTCCTATGAGGAAATTATAAGATTTGATGTTAATAATTTCAGATACTTTTTCCTTTTTCTTTTCATAGTAATATATAATTTTTTTTTCATTGTTTTTATAAAGCCCCTCGGCGAGCATCACACTTTACTATTTTTTACTTGTTAGTCAGTAAAAAGTTAATAAATTCTTTTTATTATATCACTGCGCTCCAATTTTTATGATATAACACTAAAGAAGAAAATACAGCATTTTTGTTAACGCGACTATTCTTATTTTTATTCTGTTTATATAATGTAAGTTTAGCTTTAATTTTCTGCACAGTGTAAATTTGAGAGGCTGTAAAAATGACTAAAAAAAAGAGGGAGTTAAATGAAGAAAATAAAAAAATATAAAGCCCTCGCTAATTTGTGAGAAGGGAATAATATATAGAGCGTTAAAACACGAAAGAAAAAGTGAGAAAAAAAAGTGTCTAGATCGTTTCAAAAGAATACATTTCGACATTTACAGGCGGGGGCGTACATTTTCAAATGCGGAAGGTAAGAAACAGACGCAAAAAGGGTTTCACGAAGGTTAACAGCAATCACTGAAATGATCGTAATTTTAACGACGAGGCTCGTGCGCTTCAAGTTTCCCAAAGGATGCTAAAAGTGTAATCATCAAGAGATTTCAAAAATAAATTCCATTTTTAGATTCATGTTTTTCAATTTTTTAAAAATTGAATTTTTATTACTTAATTTTTTATTTTAAATCTTCAGGGGACCGACTTCTTTTATAAATTTGAAGAAAAGGTGTTTGCTAATACCTTAAACTGCAACTAGATGGCGTCACTCAGACCTAAATGGTTCGTTTCCATTGTCCCCACTCGCCATTTGTCATAATTCTTGTCAACTACCGTACCCTGCTCCTGTAAAAATTTAGTGTTTATCAAAATTAAAAGTTACTAAATTTTTTACTCGAGCAGAGTGCGGTAGTTGACGAGAATTATAACAAATGGCGAGTGTGGACAATGGAAATCAACCGTTAACAGGTTAGGTAACACGCTTATCAGGGGCGGAAAGTGAGGGGGCTCCCCCTCATTTGTTACCAGGGTTGGGCAGTTACGCGCAACTCGGAATTTTTTACGTATTTTACCCCCACTATAAAAAAATACATTCTTTTTCAGAAAAATTATAGCTTCAAAAACATATATATATTAAAAAATTATTAAAGCCGCGAATTTTTAAAAATCCTAATCTATAGAAAGTCTTTATGAGATAAAAATAATAAATTTTGACAATTGTTTTTTGTTCCATTTTTTTAATTTTTGTAATTTTTTTTTCATCTACACTTCTTTTGGATAATCATTCAGAAAGAAATTTTAGATTAACATTTAAGATTGATGTGATTCGACATTCTGAAAATCAAAATGACGATGTTGGGACGAAAAACACTTTTTGGTCAAACTTTTATCGTAAAACGAAGTTAAATTAAGTTTGTGACATTTGAATGGAAAGAGATGTGTATCATGTAACAACGGATGTGGACCGGAGATTAATGTAGAAGGGAAAAGAGAGATGAAAATTGAGATAAAAAAAAAATCATACAGAAAATGATGCCGAAAATAAAGATTATTAAATAGGTATTAAAAAAAAGATTTTAGATTCACAATTTTCTTTCAAGTCTCCAACTTAGAGAACTTTTTTTTATTCGTAAGG